AAGTAAATCTTGCTCCATAGGGGTGTCTCCAGCACAGCAGCTCTCTGGCTGTAGTTGCAGCTGGTCCTCACAGCTGATTGGTCTGGGGGTCAATTCCTCCCAGTGACACCAACAGCAACCAAGGCTCAACTACAACAGGACAGTGCACACAGCCCACACAGGGGAGCACCTAGAAGGCCCAGCTCAGGTGACTGGGGAGGCTGAGACCTCTGGCCCCTCAGGACACCTACTACACAAAGCCACTCTACCAATTCCAGGAGACATAGCAGCTCTACCTAATACATAGAAACAAACACCTGGAAGCAGCCAAAATGCGGAGGCAAAGAAACATGTCACAAAGGAAAGAACAGAAGAAATCTCTAGAAGAGGAACTAAATGAAATAGATCCAAGCAAGCTAACAGATACAGAGTTCAGAATTTTGTTTATAAGGATGTTTAAGCAGACTATTAGGGAAATAACTGAGAAAATCGATGACATAATAAAGTACCAATTTGAAATGAAGGCTACACGAACTGAAATGAAGAATAATTTACAGGGAATCAACAGTAGAGTAGAGGATGCTGAGAATCAAATCAGCAATTTGGAACATGAGGAAACAAAAATCACCCAACCAGAAGAGCAAAAAGAAAAAAGAACCCAGAAATATGAAGATAGTATCAGGAGCCTCTGGGACAACTTCAAACGGCCCAACATTCGTATGGCTGCAACTACAGCCAAAGAGCTGCTGTGCTGGAGACACCCCTATGGAGCAAGATTTACTTCAGTGGAGCTTTGGTATTCACCAAGTGCACCCCTTGAGTGTCACTCATGGATGTGGTAGGGTTTTCATCCAGCGTGGTCAAGTCTGACCACCAGGTTCATCGTCTCTGGGGCCTGCCGGGAGGTGCGAAGTCAGCCTCTGGCAGTGCCTTGCCCAGGGCCACCCAGTATGAGCTACATAGCAAGAATTTGAAAACCTATTTGAAAAAATAATTACAGAAAACTTCCCCTACTTGGGGAAAGAAATCGACTTACAAGTCCAGGAAGCACAGAGGGTCCCAAACAAGAGGAACCCAAAGAGGCTCACACCAAGACACATTATAATTAAAATGCCAAAGGTTAAAGACAAAGAGAGAATCTTAAAAGCAGCAAGAGAAAAATAGTTACCTACAAGGGAGCACCCATAGGACTGTCAGCTGATTTCTCAACAGAAACCTTGCAGGCCAAAAGGGAGTACCAAGAAATGTTCAAAGTGATAAAAAACATGGAACTACAACCAAGATTGCTCTACCCAGCAAAGCTATCATTTAGAANTTGCTCTACCCAGCAAAGCTAACATTTAGAATTGAAGGTCAAATAAAGAGCTTCACAGATAAGAAAATGCTAAAGGAGTTCATCACCACCAGACCAGCACTACAGGAAAAGTTGAAGAGTCTTCTTTAAGAAGCAGCTAATGAACAAAAGAATCTGACAAACTAAATAGATCCAGAGACATTGACGCATGTAACAGACGGTCAAATTTCAGAGGAAAGAGGGAAGGGGCGTGGAGGGTGGGAAGAGATTAACCAAAGAAGTTATATGCATATAAGCATAACCCAATGGACACAGTCAATAATGGGGCGAAGGCCTGGGGACGGGGTGGGAGTGAGGTGGAGGGGGTCAATTGGGGGGAAAAATGGTCACCTTTAATACTCTCAACAATAAAGATAAATTTTAAAATAAATGTTTATTAAATAGATTTAATTAATTAATTTAATTAATGAGAAGTTTTACCTAATTAACCTATATAACTTGGAAACCTTAAAATCCATAAGCGGAAAATAAAAATGTTTTATTATAGCAATTTAAATACACTTTTATGTGGCAAAATATACTATAAGTAAATAGATATAAATTATATGGGGAAAAGCTCTTTGTGATGTAGGTGAGAAATAAATGTTAATATCTATATTTTACAGAGATATTTCCCAAACTGAAAAACAAAAAAGTTTCAATTAAAAAATGAGCAGAGAATTTAATTAATAAATCAAAGAGCCTGGCCGGGCATAGCTCAGCAGTTGAGCATCAGCCTAGGAGATCTCAGTTCGATTCCCAGGCAGGGCACATGCCTGGGTTGCAGGTTCGATCCCCAGCAGGGGGTGTGCAGGAGGCAGCGGATCAATGACTCTCTCATCATTGATGTTTCTCTCCCTCCCTCTTCCTTCCTTCCTCTCTGAAATCAATAAAGATATATATTTTTTAAATAAAATAAATAAATCAAAGAAAACAAATGACAATATACTCAAATTCAGTGGTGGTATATAGCAATAAAAATTAAAGTAACATTGAGATATCATTTTATACAGACCACATTGGCAGGATGCAAGACCACTATTTCTTTTGGAGATAAAAGTGAGAATGCTCACAACTTGTTGATGGCAATTAAAAGTACTATGAAATATTTGAAAAGTAATCTAGCAACACATTTCTAAATTAAATTATTAATACTCTTTGATGTATCAATTTTACTTCTGAAAATAATTTTGTAGAAATAAAAGCACCAGCCTGGCTGGGTGTGGCTCAGCCGTTGAAGTTCAATTCCTGGTCAGGGCACATCCCCAGGTTGCGGGCTCGATCAATGACTCTCTCATCATTGATGTTTCTATCTCTCTCTCCCTCTCTCTTCCTCTGTCTGAAATCAATAAAGATATATTTTTTTTAAAGAGAAAGGCTTCAGTCTGAAGTCTTAAAATCATCATGTCAATAACTCTCATTAAATACCAAAACGAAGACCAGCAAAATCTAAAAATAACCTTAAAATTGAGAATGGAGACTAAACCAAAAACTATGAGGAAGGCAAAAATAAAAAGACAAATTTACCTAAGAACTCACCTCTTTCAAATGTTCTGAATCTGCTTCTCTTTCACCTGTTCCTGCTGAAGAAATCGGACAAGGAGGAAGGCTGGGGCTGAAGGCCATGAGGTCCGTCTTGGGCGCGCCCTCCCCAGAGCACACCCGCGGCCGCCTCTGCTGCGAGGCCGACCAGCTGCCCCCCGCGCCCGGGCACACCAGCCTGGGCTGCCCCGGCCCGCACGCGCCCCCGCTCGGCGCCGCCGAGCACCGCACGGCCGTGTACAGCAGCAGCGTGAGCACCAGCAGGCTGGACACCGCGCAGATGGCGACGATCAGGTACACGTTCACGTCCACCAGCGCCGCCTCCGAGCCCGCGGCGCCCGCAGACGCCGACACAGAGGCCTTGGGCGCCTGGCCGCCGTCCACCAGCGACAGCAGCAC